AAGACGGTCATGCGGTTTGAACAGGCCAAGAAGCGACCATACTGAGCACATACGGACAACTGAAAAAAGGAGAGGGGCATCGATCTGCTGGCTATCAAACAGCCACTACAAGCTGTGTGCCTTCATCAGCAGAAAAACCGGTGGCCGGCTGGTGCCTTAAGTATTGCCATGTTCAGCACCCTCGCAACATCCTGTGCCTCTGCAACATAAGTGAGGGTCCTGCACGCACGCGTTTTGCTTGGGGGGCGTTTGCGCCCCGAAACTTGAGGTTCGGCCAACACATCTGTGAGATCATGAGCGACATGTTTTTTCGCAAGTGCGCAAGTTTGTGCCTTTAGCACCAGATTAAACCTCGCAGCACTGTGTCCAGCTTGAAACACGGTCTACGCTTTTCAAAGCTAATGAAAACGCTTGGCGAAAACTTTTCATGGAGACACACGGCCACAACCGACGGCACTTCCCCGGAGATAGTTGATGTCGTCATCGTCGTCGTTGTTGATGTTGTTGTGGTTGTGGTTGTGGTGGTTGTTGTCTAAACATTAAAAATCGTCCCGGTCGCTCTGTCCAATACCTCCTTCTGTCCAACTCTTTTCTTACGAATCCAGCATTTGACGCGGTCCGCGGTCACAGGTTAACTTCCAAAAAAAGGCATGTAAAAACAAACATGGACCCCCGAGGGGTCATCGGAGCGATAAAATACAAAGGAAGATGGAAAAAAAGAAAACATCAAAACTCAAGAAAAGCTTGGAGCCCTCCGCTTCCCTCTACACGCGACATGAGGTGAAATGAAAACTCAAAAAACGAAATAAAAGTACACGACGGATGTACCCAGAAAATGCAAGTTCGGTTCGGATGTAGGTGGGTGACACCAAAGCTGCCTTTTCAATGAACACCACGCGAAACAAACAACCGACACAGCACTCGCCAGACCTCCCCACATTTCAGAGGTTTCTACAGGTGCTGCTGCTACCCGGGTTTGTTTATACCTCTTACATAGCAGGGCACCCAAGCGACAAGCAAAGAAGCACCACGGAAGACTAGACGAGATTCGACGCGCCTCACCAGTCGCTCCCAGTCGAGACTCCTTCGGACACCTGACAAAGCAGCAGCACAATCATGAAGGAACAAAGAGATCAGAAACGAGCGGCCTGAGCGAGAAAGAGAGGTGGTGGTTGTGGAGTTGTGCTGGTGCTGGTGCTGTTGCTGTCTGCCCGTTTTTCATTATCTCTCAGGTACAGCAACGCGCGGCCCACCGGCATACGTCACCGTGTGGGCGCCCAGCGATCTCCCGACGCCTCTTTGTTGGTAACCTCGACCGGATCATGTCGACCAGACCCTACTGCAGAGCAAAGACAGGAACACAACAAAAGTAGGAAAACCGATTCGCTACGTCGCGAAATCAGGGCACAGCAGAAAATCCAGTAAAACCGCCCAACGCTTCGGTCGAAAAACCGCGTCACCGCCCACCTGAACAGGGTGTCCCAAAGCGAAGCACGCGTTCTCGCCCTCCGCCTCAAGACCGTCAGCATCGTCGACAGCGGAGTCGGAGAATGCTTGGTCGTTCTCGGGCTATTTGCGGGACGTGCGAGAACTGGGTCATCGCTGGGCCACATCCAAGAAACTGCGTGAACGGCCACCGCTTGCAATAGCACGCGGCGAGTAGCCTCTAGCCGGAGCAGTTGCTCATCGGTTGCAGGGTGGTCTCCGTTGGTTTCGCGAAGCGCGAAGGGTCCAACCGTTCACGTACTCCAGTGGCGTCATATTGACGCGGGTGCGACTGCGTTCGGCGCGGAGCTGCACGGTCGAGGTCGTGTCCGCCCCTGCGTCCACAAGACGCCGCGTGATCCTGGGGTTGCACGGCTTGTTATTGTTTCCCCCGAAGCTCCACAGCAAAGCCGTCAAGCCATCGTCGTCGCAGGCGGTGTTCACGTAAGAAGTTTGCCACCGCTCCTGCTGCTGCCGCAAAAGAAATCCTACCGCTGCCTCCTTGCCGCTCCCGACGGCGGCGAGAAGGGCTAGCCCGACAGGATCCACCACTCCGGCACCCATGATTATCGACATTATGTCAACCTGTCCATACACTGCGGCGACGCGGAGAGCATCTAACAACCTACCACTCGGCCCACCACAGCAACGGATACCAAATTCGCGCAACAGTTCTCTCACCACTGCCGATCGGCCGGTCTGCGCCGCGACTTCCAGCGGGACGAAGCTCCTGCCTGAACATTCCGACGACCGAGTCAGCAAAGGGTTTGCCTTGGCGTGAAGGAGCACCTTCACCGCGCCCAGGTGTCCCTGCATCGCCGCAATGTACAGCGGTGTCGCTGTTCGTGGGTCTGTAAACATTGGTGTTGGATACATGTGCTGTATGATGTTGGTGAACGCAAATTGGTACGATTGCCGTTTGGTAGGGGGCACGGCGATGAGTCACGGGGTCCCTCCTTGGTCTAGGAGCTGCCCATGTGGTGCACTCCCTCTTTCGTCCGTGTGAAGGACGGTCGTCTACCTCTCGTAAAGTTAATACATCACCAAAACAGTCCCACCCGATAAAACAGTGGCGTAGGCCGGAAACACTCTAGAGGTTGCCCCTCGAGGGAAGCCACATCGGGATGAGCTCTGCCAGAGATGAGATGCCCACTGCTGCGAGACAAGAAAAGATCCGCTCGCCGATGGAGGAGGGCCGCGATGCAGAGCTTGCAAGTTTGCAACGGCATATTTCGCAATTGGCGGCCCTGGTGGAGGAGTCGGTGAAGAAGAAGGAGCCTGGTAGCGTCGTGGCGGATGCAGCCAGCAGTGGCGGCTGGGTTGCCGCCACGGGAGGCCAACGAGAGCCCACGCTGCCGCTCGGCGGCGGCGGGGGATTTCTCCAGCAGCAAGCGAGCGATGGTGGGCAGGGACCACGGCAGCTGCTGGAAGGCGGCTGGGCCAGCAGATCGGGAGCGAATCCTGCGAGACCAGCTGGAGTGGGCCCGGGCATAGGACCGGACTACGGGGAAGCGAGGGGTTAAAAACCCCCGGGTGAGATACCCGTGATTCGAGGGAATGGATAATTCCTCGACGGCTACAGCATAGCCACATGAAGAGAGTAACAGTCGATGTCCCGCGTCTCGAAGGGGAGAGTCGCGGCCATGGGAATGACTCGTGGAGAGAGTCGCTTATGCAAGTGGCCAAGACTGTAGGACACGACGGCCAATTGATCGGCAACGACGAGAGACATGCACCTGTCGGCAACCCAAACGTGCCAAGCTCGGAGCTGTACCGCCTCCAATACACCAGCGACGAGGTCCAGAGGGGCCTCCAAGCATTCCATTTTGTGACCACTGCCATCGTCAGAGAAGCCGACAAGGCGATCGTGAACAAATTCGAAACCGCAAAAGAGATCCTCGCGGAACTCGACAGAATCTACGATCCGGAATCGCAGGGCACTACTACTCATTCGAGCTGCTGTACTCAGGCCTGCGCGAAAAGGGGCTCAATGCTGAACAACCCTTCGTTCTCGCCC